ACAAGCAGCTAGTTTAGGTTTTCCAGTTAACATCAGGAAGATTAAAGTCACCCATGATGATAACATCCCCCGACATTGTCATTTTAGCTATTTCCTCTACTAGTATATTATCAATCTCTTCTATTTGTCCTGGGGGCCTATAAATCACACCTACATGAGTTACTGTGTAATTACCAAATTCTCACGTAACCCAAACGGACTCTATGTTCAACTTACTAACTTTTACTAGGCTAGATTTTATGCTATCCTTCACATACAGGGCCACCCCTCCCCCTTTCTTGCCTTCCCTGTCTTTTCTATATAAAGAGTACCTTGGTATTGCTATGTCGCAGTCATTTTTCTCATTATACCATGTCTCAGTAACAGCAACTAAATCTACATTATCAGTTGCCATGAGCTACCATGAGAAATGAAACCAAATCCTTGCTCCCGACACCATTCACCAAGCCACAAGTTAAAGTCCCTAATACACATCCACCTGTCGTTCTGATTGTTATGCACAGGCAGAACTTCAGGGAATGAGAGTGTGGAAGCAACCTGCCGTATATCATTGGCAAAAACAATAAAAACTTCCTTTTCCTCTGAAACCTCATTGAAAGCCAAGTCATTTGTCCCTATATGGACAAGTACATTCAATTCCCCTTCCTGGTTTGCCCACTTATCAATATTACAAATACGTCTCCTGTCTCTGTGAGCAGTAGCTCTGGGAAGACATCTCACAAGACCACCATTGTCCAGCTCCACACCTCTTATGACAGCATCCCCCATCAACAACTGCTTTCAACAACTACTTTCTTATAGCTTTCCTACCTTGTCTCTTCTTCTCCCTTCCTTCTCTTCTCTATCTGTAACTAATTTGGTGATGACAACATAAACATTCATACCACATTCATACTCAATCTAACCATTTGGGGATAATCAAATAATATTTACAGAATTGATTCTTCTATCTTTCTGAACCCTTTATTAATCTCAAAGATGTTTATATGATTTCACTCCATATTTTTTTTTTCTTTTTGTACCATTGCTACCATTTTTTTTAAATGAATTTCCAAATTTGTTTCATTGTTTTGCCCGTAACATTTCTCCATTAGCTCTTGATATTCCATTTGTTTAAATAAGTCTGTGAACTTCCGCAAATGTTCGCGAACCGGCGAACCGCCCGAACCGCCATTGACTTCAATGGGCAGGCGAATTTTAAAACACACAGGGACTCTTTCTGGCCACAATAGTGATGGAAAAGTTGTTTCAAGGGGACTAACACCAGGACTGTGGCATGCCGGAGGGGGATCCATGGCAAAACTCCCATGGAAAATTACACAGTTGATACAGAGTCTGGTTTTAATCCATAAAGGGCAGAAATCACCTAACATTCCTAAATCACAATCAATATGGATTGACACTTGACATATGACATATTGACACCTTGACATATGGATTGACACCTGTCCTCAGAGCCCCTGATGCACACGGACACAGAGCAGAATAGAGACTGGTCCCCCTACATAGGGTCACTTGGCAGATATGGATTGACACCTGTCCTAGGGATCCCTGATACACACTGACACAGAGCTGAATAGAGACTGTTCCCCCTACATAGGGTCACTTGGCAGATATGGATTGACACCTGTCCTAAGGATCCCTGATACACACTGACACAGAGTAGAATAGGGACTGTTCCTCCTACATAGGGTCACTTGGCAGATATGGATTGACACCTGTCCTCAGAGACCATGATACACACTGACACAGAGCAGAATAGGGACTGTAACCCCTACATAGGGTCACTTGGCAGATATATGGATTGACACATTGCTACAAACTGCTATTTGTAACGGGCCCTTTAAATGGCAAATTGCCCTGCTTCCCTGGGTTGTGGAGAAGCCTATTTGCCAGCCTCCTCCCGCATGACTATGGCCCCTGGGAGATTGTGAAAATGTATGCAATTTTATTTGGTGTGTATGGCCCTTTAAGACTGTCGGTGGGCATATTGGGGCTTATGGACTCTTTATGTGACTGGTGTTGGCCCTTTAAACACCTTTTTTGGGACATCAGGAAGATTGGGACACTGCCCCTTTAAGGCCGTGTCCCCAGACTTGTTGGGGACACTGCCCCTTTAAGACGGTGTCCCCTGTGTCCCCAGACCTGGTGTAAACCCTTTGTGCCTGCCTGGCTAATTCCCACTTGGTTCAGTAAATGGGGCTTACTGAACCAAGTACCACACAGGCAGACCACCCAGAAGTGGAAGTGTGCAGGCAATTTACCTCCCAGAAGCTGCGGTTAACCGCAGCTTAATTGACAATGTTGGGAGGTCTTTGTTCGTTTGCCGAACACGTGGCGGCGGCCATCTTTGATCATTCGACGAGGTCAGCGGTATGTGTAGCCAAATTCATGGAACTAAAATCGGCTACACATTTCCGCGAACACCGCTGAGCTCTACCTTCTCCCCTACTGGTTTTACAGCTGCAGAGACTAAGTCCCATTCGGCGATGGGACTTAGTCTTTTTTTCAGCCGTTTTTTTCAGCCTTATTTCAGCTGCAGAGACTAAGTCCCATTCGGCGATGGGACTTAGTCGTTTTTTCAGCCTGAAATAGACCGACCTCACAGCCCAAATCTATGGAACTGTTTTGGGCAGGAAAATGTGCTTGCGGTCGGTCATAAAGGGACCTCCAGCTAACTTTTTAACCCCTGGATGGATTTGGCTGATTTTTGGTTATGTTTATGTTTTAAGTGTGCTGATTCCAAATATGTAATTATGAAGATGGGATGTGTAGTTTTAAAGTTACAGGGTATGGCTAAAAACTGTATTTTTACTGCCTGTGTTTAATTATGTTAATCTCTTCCCAAACGTCATTTCGTTCAAAGTGGAGAGAATGTTAAAAAAATATATTTTGTGAGAAATGCTTTTCAGCTGCTTCTAATCTTAAGCATCATTTGAGGAGCCATACAGGAGAGAAACCTTATTTGTGGTGTGTTTAGTATTGTTCTGATCAGTTTAATACCTTCGGTGTATATGGCAGCCATTTTAGGAACCGTACACCTGGGACCCGAGCAAGGTCACCTCGTTCAACAGGCTTGCAGCGTATCCTCCAGGAAGAAGAGCCTGAACCCTTACGGGCTGCACGTGTCTTACCTGTACATGGAAAGCTGCTCTGGTTCCTTGATGAGCCAGCTGCCCGTGAGTTAACATGTCCAGTGGAGAAGCACTCTGTCCTGTAAAGCCTCACCAAAAAAAAGGAGTGGTGTGTTTAGTATTGTTCTGATCAGTTTAATACCTTCCGCGTCTCCTATCAGTGGACGTGTACACGGCATTGATTTTTATCTAAGCCGCAAACTTTTGCACAGCGAAGTATATTCACTGCCATTGAAAAGGAGTGCATGGCGGTGGTGTGGGCCCTCAAAAAGCTGCAACCTACTTGTATGGACAACAGTTTACCTTACTCACAGATCACATTAAATTTGGGGCACTGCGCGGTCAAGCTAATGTGACACCAGATAGGAGTGGTGTGTTTAGTACTATTGTTATCAGTTTAGTACCTTCTCGTCTCTATCAGTGAGTGGGTGTACACGGCAGTAATTTTCTGTAACAGGCAGATGGAAGAAGATGCTGAGGTGGGTCCTCTTGCAAATTTGGGGCACTGCTGGCGGTCAAGCTAATGTGACACCAGATAGTAGTGGTGTGTTTAGTACTATTTTTATCAGTTTAGCCCTTCCAGCGTCTCCTATCAGTGGGCGTGTACTGCGGCGTGATTTTTGTAACAGGAGGTGGGAGAAAGAGGCTTTGGTCGGTCCTCTTACTGCAAATTTGGGGCACTGCGCGGTCAAGCTAATGTGACACCAGATAGGAGTGGTGTGTTTAGTACTATTTTTATCAGTTTTATACCTTCCGCGTCTCCTATCAGTGGACGTGTACACGGCATTGATTTTTGTAACAGGGAGATGGAAGAAGAGGCTTGGTCGGTCCTCTTACTGCAAATTTGAGGCACTGCGCGGTCAAGCTAATGTGACACCAGATAGGAGTGGTGTGTTTAGTACTATTTTTATCAGTTTACCTTCCAAGGCTCTCCTATCAGTGGACGCAATAAGGTATCGATTTTAACAGGAGATGGAAGAAGAGATTTGGTCGGTCCTCCTAACTGAGACTGTGTTGCTGGGTGGTAGGTGGAGCTTACGAGAAGTGCTACCACTGCTTTATAAAGCCATTTATAAAGTACACACTGGCGGCTCGAACCCTAGTTGGTGGCGGATAAGTCACGCAAGTCAAGCGGCATTCAGAGTTATAATACAGCAGCGTGTGGACCATTTTTAGCCCAAGGCAGCTCATCTCATCAGGCCTTTTTTACATAGGGTCACTTGGCAGATATGGATTGACAGCTGTCCTAGGGATCCCTGATACACACTGACACAGATCAGAATAGGGACTGCTCCTCCTACATCGGGTCACTTGGCAGATATGGATT